ATGGAAATTTCTGGGAGTTTGTCATCTTGAATGGCTGATCTTCTTTTGCGAAAGCCCCTTGATTTGGGCTTTGACGCTTCAATGGATAGTCTTTCAAATACCGAGACCCTTTGTGAAGCGGTTTTGGGGCAGCTACATGCTGATAATGCTGCCCTGATAAGCCTCGCACACGGATAGTGAGAATTCGTATCTCGGATATTCCTCTTTCGAGAGCTCTTCGTACCCCCATTCCGATAGTACAACTCATCGATCTGATTATCGGAACAATCTATGGAGTGGTGGCATAACTTCCCAAGTGTAACGTCTTCGTCAGACGAATACGTTTCCCTTTGAGGATATAATTCTTCATTATCATTTCCAAGATTCGCACGTTTAGAACCATGCTTTCGCGAGCACGAGACTTCAATGGGCTCTTCGACTTTGACACGCAATCCAATGTGGTCGGTTATGAGAATCTTCCCCGTATGAGAGGACTTTGAACTGTTTGGAGGATGAGTATGACCCCCAGTTTGATGATTTGGTCGGGTTTCGTTCAATGGTCCTAAGCGTTCCTTAACATGAGCTTTGCTTTCGATCTTCGTGTAGATGACCAAGGCGAGCAGATGTGGTGGCAGTAGACGGACGAGGAGCAGACGTCGATAGAGTTGACGAATTGGCCTTGGGAGGCTGCTTTTCGCTGAGACGGATGTGTGTCTCTCGGCTGAAGGAGATATTCCCCAACTCCGATTTTCGCGCAAATTTAGATTTTGGAATCCAAACTTTACGGGTTTTTGGTAACTCTTTTGCCACCGTTTCTTCCTTATTTTCTTGTGTTTGTCGCACCTGGGCACGGGCACGAGCAGCGTTTACACGGCGCTTCTGGATGCGTTCCCTAAGGGTCGGCGTGCTCTTTTGACGAGAACCCATTCCTCCCCTGATAATTTAGCAGAGATATGAGTTGTTTGTCATTGAGGCAGCAGGACCACTCAATGCTTTCTTGACTCTAGATCCGCGTAGTAGCGAACACCGTCGACTTGCTCTAAGGCTTTAGCCGTTTGACGAGCACGACGCTGACGTTGTCTCTGACGAGCCCTCTTCGTCAGTGCTGATGAACTTTGATTCAACGACCCCTTAATTGGAAGGGAATCGTTGTGAGCAGAGGTTCCGACATCGTCGCTTGCCAGAGTGATGTTGTTAAGGGAAACCTCAACAACGATGGGGCGAGAGTCATCACCCATAGCTTTCGTCAGAATTGAAGACTGACGAACCTTCTTTGAAGATGAAATCTTCCTGCATTTGCGAAAAGAGGAAGATTTTGAGGATGAGGACGACAAATATTCCTCAAACTTTGCTTGGTCGAATTCATACTCGACCGTAGACTCAACCGGAATCTTGATCGGCTGCGACACGACGGTCTCGTCAGCGAGATTGTTGGCTCCCACTGTGGTCGCCACTTTGTTTGCGTTAAAAGTTGTTTTCATTGCTGAATCCATTATTCGTTTATTGATTACAGATTCAAAGTAAACTTAGTCTTTTTATAAGACTTTTCTTACACAATGAAAATTAAAAAAAAATTACAACCTTCTACAAATAAATACAAAAATTGTTTATCAACTCCTGCTTTTGTGGGATCTTTGCCTATGCCGGGGTTTATCCGTGGACGACCAAATCAACGATCCAAATTGAACCGTGAAGGCTTTTGGGTATTCTTCTTCATTTATCGAAGTAAGAAAATAAGTGAATATCTTATCAATATAAGATGAACACTCTTCCAAAGATTAAGTCAAAGCTTAGATCTCTAGGAATCACCAAAAACTTCTTAAAATGCTTGTGAAGAACGAACACTCTCTTTCTTGCTCGAAATCACCAAGAGCTCAAGTCTCTCTGCTCAATAATTCGTCCTCCTCTCCCTCGCGCACACAAGTGTATAAGAGGGTATTTATAGCCTCTTGGAGTTATACCTACAAAATAACAGATATTAACTATCTCCTTTGGGCGTGGCAGTGTCCACTGCCGTGGCCAAAGGAGGTAGTTTTCCAACCTTTGTAACCACCGTCCTTTACATTAGTGTCCACCTTTTTCATGGGTAGTGGGCCTGTTCTCAGGGTATAACCGCTCCTCCACGTTAATGCATGTTCTCCCTCAGTTATGACGCCAGGGGGACCCCAAAATAAACTGATAAAAACCATCAGCAAATCGTGAGAAGCTGCCCTGACGCTTGCGCGACGTCTACCACTACCGCGCCTATGCGCGACAATGGATACTACCGTAGGTATGCACGTTGTTCTCCTAAGTTGTTTCACATGCCTCTTTGCTTCTTTTGGCTTCGAATGATCCCCTCTGACTTAGATAATAACATTCATTGTCTTCTCTTTGTCTTAAGCTATATTCGGATACCTGCAGGCATTTTTAGACGCCTACAAGCATCATCTGTGTATTCTGTACCGTTGTCAGATCTTAGTGTCTTTAATTTCTTCCATATCCTATTCTCAACCATTATCTTCCACTTCTTGAATGTCTCGAACACCTCATTCTTATGCTTAAGAAAATAAATCCAAGCATACCTAGAATAGTCGTCTATGAACGAGACAAAATATCTGAAACCACCCTTCGAAGTAGTCTGAGTCGGACCCCAAACATTCGTGTGCACATAATCTAGTATACATCTGCTCTTATGATTGCTTCTCAGAAACTGAACCCTATGCGCTTTTCTGTACACATAATCCTCACAAAAAATCCATGCAAGGTTTCTTCATATTCTTCAGCAAACCCTCCTTACCAAGCAGAACTAGACCTTTCTCTGACATGTGCCCAAGCCGCCTATGCCATAACCGTGTGTGCTCACATGAGTCTCCATCACTTCCTTCAGTTCCTACAGCTACATTTCCCGTCACCGTTATACCTGAGAGAGTATATAAATTACCATGACGAACACCCTTCATCACTACAAGGGAACCCCGGACAACTTTCTTAACTCTGTTCTCCCTAACAATCCTACAACCACCGGAGTTCAATGCACCCACTGAGGTAAGATTCTTCCGCAAGTCGGGAACGTGCCTCACATCCGTCAAGGTTTGGACCACTCCATCGTGCATCTTTATCTTGATATCACCTAGCCACACTATTTTATAAGCATGGTTGTTCCCCATCAACATAGTTCCACCATTAATGTTCCTGTAGGTAGTAAACCACTTCCTGTTTGGGCACATGTGATAGGAGAAACCCGAATCAAGAATTCACTTCCTAGAGATATCCTCACCACCCGCGACGACATAACATTCTTTTTCGCTCCCTTCCTCTGAAACGTAGCTCACCTCTTCCTTGCCTTCTCTCCTCTCAGTATTGTTGTTATTCTTCTTCCCACCTACTCTTTTATTTGGACAGTTGGCTTTAAAGTGCCCTAGCTCACCGCATTTAAAACACGATCGTTCCGCAAGAGGTCTTGATTTTGATCTAGACTTTCCTCCATTGCCCTTTCCTTGCTCATTGCCCCTTCCTCTATCTAACAATCCTTATGCCTATTCCTTATTACCACCAGTAGCCATGTCACTGGTTGTAATCTTCCGAAGATCACCAGCTAGAAGTGCCTTTCTAGTCTCATCCATCGTCAAATTGTCCCCACAAGCATCAGTGTTTGAACTAGGTTCTCATAAGACTTCGGCAGAGATAGAAGTAGTAGAAGAGCATGATCCTCGTCTTCTACAGTCACATCAATATCTTTCAGATCCGATATTATCCTATCGAACTTATTGATGTATTTCCGGATTGATGAGCTCTCCTCCATCTTGCAAGTATACAGTTTGGACTTCAAATAGATCCGGTTCGTTAGACTCTCCGTCATGAAGGTACTTTCTAACTTCGACCACACGCCCGTAGCTGTTTTCTCTCTATCTATCAAGAAAGCTACATCCCTCTCAAGGCAAAGGATAATCGACGCCCGTGCTTCCAAATCCAGCTCCTCCCAATTCTCATTAGACATGTCCTTGTGTTTCTTCTATTTTCCCGCCAAAGCTTTGTGCAAATTTTGCGAAATCAACGAGTTTGTCATCTGCATCCTCCAATAGGAAAAATCGTTCTTTCCATTAAACTTTTCAATCTCGTACTTTCCCACTATAATTGTTTTACTTATAGACGTCATTCTCCACTTGTTTTAATAAACCTCTTCTCTTAGGAAATAGCCGAGCACCACCTCAAATCAAAATCTACACCACTTCTAATCTGAATAACAGCTCTGATACCAATTGTTGGGCGTAGAGTCACGCCCTCACGCCACGGAAGCGATATAACCTGAGAGAAAGCCCTGACTTTTGTTGTCACAAAAGCTCAAGTCAACCTCTATATTCCTGTTTCACTAAGGAAAGAAGAACAGAAAATGAAATATCTTAACAAAGTGATATATACACTCTTTTACCCTCTTTCTCTCATCAGTTCTAGGACTGACTTGTCGAGGGAATCTACAAACAATAGCCAACTCTACCTCTCATCAGTTCTAGGACTGACTTGTCAAGGAACCTACAAGCAATAGCCAACACACAGGAAATAGTAAATACACGAGATTTACGTGGTTCGACAAACTTGCCTACGTCCATGGGAAAAGGGTTAAATGAGATTTCACTATGAAGAAGAACACCGACGACTTGTACAATTCCCAAGCTCGTTTCATAGAAGAAGCTTTAATTTTTACCCAAAATAAATTGACCTCTCTTGTAAAATCTCTCTAAAGCTCTCTATTTTTATCTCTCAAGATCTCACCTTTAGATCTGAAAAAAACTCTATGCTTTCTCTCCTGTAGAAAATCCTAGAAGAAAATCCTATTTATAGGAGATCCGGGCCTGCTCTGCCCGCTAGAAAAACGTGTTTGCAGCTGGGAACTTGGGCTACAGAGGGATGGTGTGGTCCCCACGCGTGTGCGTGTTCATAACAAACGCGTGGGTGTGGCCTCCACACGTTCACAGTTACAAATACATGTTTGTCATTACTCAAACAAAGGAAATTGTACGGACAATCTTACACAATTCACATTCACCGTTCCTAATAAATTACATTCTTATCTCCATTCACATTCTATCACCATTCGTATATTACATTCTATCTCCTATATACCACTATTGTGGCATAAAAAAAATCTCATAATTTGGGTACTTGTTGACATCTTAATTTGAAGTATTACAATAATTTTGAAGTGTACAACATAAATGTCGTACATTTGCTAAAACTAGCATACCATAAACACTTACATATAACTACAGAGATAATATAACACAAAGCAAGTGCTTACATGGAGTAAGCGAAGCAGGCCTCCATCTCACTGTTGCAAATGTATCGAGTACATATTGGGAGGAACAGAAACCTCAGTCGCTCCTTCCAGCATCTGAACAACCTTCTTCATTGAAGGCCTTAGCCAAGGCTCATCCTGAACACAAGAAATACCAACCAAAACAAATCTCTCAAGCCTCAACCTATCTTTTTTCGCCTCCTCGTCGTCCTCCACCAACAAATCCATTCTCCCATTCTTATAGCATTCCTTCGCCCAGTCAATGACTGTCAACTTCTCTTGGCTCTCCAATCCCCAATCGAAATTCCTCCTGCAACAAATAATCTCCAATAATACCACTCCAAAGCTATAAACATCCACTTTTGTTGTGATAGCAATGTTTTTAAACCATTCAGGTGCGAAATAACCTATAGTTCCCCTGATGCCAGTGCTTGTTCGAGTTTGCTCGAGCCTTAACAGTTTCGCTAGTCCAAAATCCGATATCCTAGCGACATTATTTTCATCCAAGAGTATGTTCTGAGGCTTTATGTCACAATGTATGATCTGTTTCCTGCATTCCTCATGCAAATATGCAAGTCCTTCAGCGATACTAATTGCAATTTGGGCTCGTTGTGTCCACTCAACACAATTCATCCCAAATATGTACTTACTTAGGGATCCATTGCTCATGAACTCATATACCAAAAGCCTATGCTCCCCCTCCTTGCAGAATCCAAGCAAGCGCACTAGATTCTTGTGGTGTGTCTGGCCGATAGTATTGACCTCGTTAGTGAAATCTCTCTCAGCTTCTTCCAACAGAGTTCCTAGTTTCTTGACAGCAATGAGAGTTTGAGATTCTGAATATGCTATATTACCTTTATATACAGTACCAAAAGCACCTCTTCCTAGCTCTTCGGTGAACCCTTTGGTGGCGAATTCAAGCTCTTTGTAGGTGAATGAGCAAAGAGATGGCACTAAACCACCTGGATCTCTGTACAACAACCGCCGTTTTCTTTTATATACACAAGCAGAAACAACAACCAAGTTCAGAAGTACTGAGCTTCCCAGAAGAATCGATGCTGTAAGCACCAAAGTTTTCCAATTTCTCTTCCCATTATCTGATTTTGAAGGAAGATAGATTGTGTTTGTGTTTGTGTTATTATATTTGGAGAATTTGATGAAAACGTTTGTTTGAATGCTGCTTCCCAAATTCCCATTTGAAAGAGGAAACTTCTTCTTCCGGCATGTTTCGGTACTGTACACAGCAACCAAGCAAAAACAGTCCTTTAAGCAGTTGTCTTTGCACTGAGCTTCATTCATGGGGTTTAATGTCTCAACATCTGAATGTTGCCAATCCACATTATTCATTTCAACAAAATCGAACGGTGCTTCTCCTCTTTCTCTCATCAGTTCTAGGACTGACTTGTCGAGGGAATCTACAAACAATAGCCAACTCTACCTCTCATCAGTTCTAGGACTGACTTGTCAAGGAACCTACAAGCAATAGCCAACACACAGGAAATAGTAAATACACGAGATTTACGTGGTTCGACAAACTTGCCTACGTCCATGGGAAAAGGGTTAAATGAGATTTCACTATGAAGAAGAACACCGACGACTTGTACAATTCCCAAGCTCGTTTCATAGAAGAAGCTTTAATTTTTACCCAAAATAAATTGACCTCTCTTGTAAAATCTCTCTAAAGCTCTCTATTTTTATCTCTCAAGATCTCACCTTTAGATCTGAAAAAAACTCTATGCTTTCTCTCCTGTAGAAAATCCTAGAAGAAAATCCTATTTATAGGAGATCCGGGCCTGCTCTGCCCGCTAGAAAAACGTGTTTGCAGCTGGGAACTTGGGCTACAGAGGGATGGTGTGGTCCCCACGCGTGTGCGTGTTCATAACAAACGCGTGGGTGTGGCCTCCACACGTTCACAGTTACAAATACATGTTTGTCATTACTCAAACAAAGGAAATTGTACGGACAATCTTACACAATTCACATTCACCGTTCCTAATAAATTACATTCTTATCTCCATTCACATTCTATCACCATTCGTATATTACATTCTATCTCCTATATACCACTATTGTGGCATAAAAAAAATCTCATAATTTGGGTACTTGTTGACATCTTAATTTGAAGTATTACAATAATTTTGAAGTGTACAACATAAATGTCGTACATTTGCTAAAACTAGCATACCATAAACACTTACATATAACTACAGAGATAATATAACACAAAGCAAGTGCTTACATGGAGTAAGCGAAGCAGGCCTCCATCTCACTGTTGCAAATGTATCGAGTACATATTGGGAGGAACAGAAACCTCAGTCGCTCCTTCCAGCATCTGAACAACCTTCTTCATTGAAGGCCTTAGCCAAGGCTCATCCTGAACACAAGAAATACCAACCAAAACAAATCTCTCAAGCCTCAACCTATCTTTTTTCGCCTCCTCGTCGTCCTCCACCAACAAATCCATTCTCCCATTCTTATAGCATTCCTTCGCCCAGTCAATGACTGTCAACTTCTCTTGGCTCTCCAATCCCCAATCGAAATTCCTCCTGCAACAAATAATCTCCAATAATACCACTCCAAAGCTATAAACATCCACTTTTGTTGTGATAGCAATGTTTTTAAACCATTCAGGTGCGAAATAACCTATAGTTCCCCTGATGCCAGTGCTTGTTCGAGTTTGCTCGAGCCTTAACAGTTTCGCTAGTCCAAAATCCGATATCCTAGCGACATTATTTTCATCCAAGAGTATGTTCTGAGGCTTTATGTCACAATGTATGATCTGTTTCCTGCATTCCTCATGCAAATATGCAAGTCCTTCAGCGATACTAATTGCAATTTGGGCTCGTTGTGTCCACTCAACACAATTCATCCCAAATATGTACTTACTTAGGGATCCATTGCTCATGAACTCATATACCAAAAGCCTATGCTCCCCCTCCTTGCAGAATCCAAGCAAGCGCACTAGATTCTTGTGGTGTGTCTGGCCGATAGTATTGACCTCGTTAGTGAAATCTCTCTCAGCTTCTTCCAACAGAGTTCCTAGTTTCTTGACAGCAATGAGAGTTTGAGATTCTGAATATGCTATATTACCTTTATATACAGTACCAAAAGCACCTCTTCCTAGCTCTTCGGTGAACCCTTTGGTGGCGAATTCAAGCTCTTTGTAGGTGAATGAGCAAAGAGATGGCACTAAACCACCTGGATCTCTGTACAACAACCGCCGTTTTCTTTTATATACACAAGCAGAAACAACAACCAAGTTCAGAAGTACTGAGCTTCCCAGAAGAATCGATGCTGTAAGCACCAAAGTTTTCCAATTTCTCTTCCCATTATCTGATTTTGAAGGAAGATAGATTGTGTTTGTGTTTGTGTTATTATATTTGGAGAATTTGATGAAAACGTTTGTTTGAATGCTGCTTCCCAAATTCCCATTTGAAAGAGGAAACTTCTTCTTCCGGCATGTTTCGGTACTGTACACAGCAACCAAGCAAAAACAGTCCTTTAAGCAGTTGTCTTTGCACTGAGCTTCATTCATGGGGTTTAATGTCTCAACATCTGAATGTTGCCAATCCACATTATTCATTTCAACAAAATCGAACGGTGCTTCTCCTCCAGGTTCACAACTTTGAGATATAAAATCTGGCTTGCAACCTTTGTATTTGTTATCTGGATCAAGGTAAGAATACTTAGGTGGGCACTGGCAATTAACCCTTCCATCTGAATCGAAAGTGCAGTAGCTGTTGAATCCACATGCCCCGCTGCCTACATCAGTTTGAAGGCTTTCGCAGATGTTATCAGGTGTTGATACTTGCACATCCCAACTTCCAGTGGTCAGTTTGTTCTTTAGAAGTGTATAATGCCTGCGAAAAATTGACGCAAGTTCGAGAATTGAGCAACAATTGTTTTTGTCGCTGATATTTTTAAAGCAGAAAGAAGTAGAATACCCAAAATGGCATCAAGTAAATTGTCAAGAGGCAAAAAACAAGGGCTCTTAGAATGAAAAGTCTCCAAAGAAGAAAATGCCAAAAACAACGAATTAAAAAAAAAGGTTGGGCTTTGACCGCTCTATGCACTAGGTTCTTTGTCTGAGTATCAGTATAGTTATCACCAAAGACCATTTAATAGTGCAAAATTTCACCTAAAGTTTAGTAGTATTGACACCTGCAGGCTGCAAAGATGAAAACTAAGGGAGCGTTTGGCAACCGGGACGTTTTTGTCGTTCTGTTTTTTTTCAAAAAAAACAATGAAATGTGTTTGGTGAATGTAGTGTTTTTTTGACTTGACCCTTTACAAAATCCAAAAAATAAATGCTTTTATCAAAACACCAAAAAAAGTGTTTGGAGATCTAGTTTTTTTCCCTCACCAATAACTATAAATGGTGTTTTCAAAAAACTTTTGAAAAAAAACACAATGGCATGGTGTTTTTCTACAAAAACACAACAAAAAAATCAACTTAATTACCAAACACACCCTTAGCATTCTCCTGCAAACTGTACTTTCACATATAAACATCTACAATTAACAAATAACAATACCATAGAGAATAATCTACATAATGACACAAATAGGTATGTGACGATATTCTGTCACTAGTTCAAGCCAGAGATGCTCTTGATTAATTCTCAACTAAGCCATTGATTACATTACATTTTAGTAATTAAGAGAAACATGCCTGAAAATATAATTGAGAGACTTTTGTTGGTAGTCAAATCTCACAAATATAAAGTATATTCTTGATTTCAGGAAATAAAACATTAAAGTTTTAATTAAGTAACAATCTTCCATTCGCAATGGATGACTATCTCAAAAGAAGATTGAAAAAAGTGTTGGATTAAATCTAATTGTGGGCATATATGTTACATTAGTGTATAGTGCTATCCTTAAGGTTAACCCGAATAAAGTGATCAATTAAGTCAATTGGGTTAATGGGTATTTAAATGTGTCATGGACTAATTGTGCAGATACCAGACTGCAATTCTAATTTTATGAAGGGCTAAGTTAGAAAATTACAAATCTATATAAAGGGGTTATGGTCCCTGATCTAAAGGTTACGTTCTCTATTCTCTAATCCCATTTTAAAAGAATTCTTAAAGAGAAACCTTTCAGATTAGAAGATCAACCCTAATTCAGATCCGTGATCGAATCTTCATGGATTCAGGTATTGCTTCCGCTCTCATGTTAATCTCTATGAATTAGTCACAAATTAAAGTTTCTACAAGTGGTATCAGAGCCTCTTTGATTAATTCTTAGGGATTTAAGATTATGAAATTAGGGTTCTTTGATCTTAATCATGTATTATTAAGATCCGTTGTTCGCTGCACTGTAGCATGCTCGAATGAACATTAAAAGTTCATGTTTCTTTTTTGTTTTGATTTCTTTCGGCTGTTTCTTTTGGATCTCTGAAAACATGAACTGTAGCACTTTGTTCAAAATCATGTTTTGATGATCTGGATCAAATCACTGATCCAAGTCGTATTCAATTAAGTTCAAAAATCAAGTGCAAAAGAATATTTAAATTCAGTTTTCAGCCATCGTTCGCTCCGCTCCTCGCTGGCGATGTTCGCTGGCTGCCTCGCTGTCAAAGGAAGACAGCGGCGGCATCAGGAAGCCCTAGGGTTTCGAAACCCTAGGGTGCGTGTCAGGTACGGGTGAGGATTGCACTGGAAGCTTGCCAACAGAGACTCAACCTGAACCTGAGAATTAGACAGAGGCTGAAGAATGTGCACGTTGGGGAAGAACTGGAATGATTCCAAACTTGAAGGGCTCTTGTGCATATTTGTTAGCTCAGAACAATTGTAATAAATGTTAGAGTAGGTTACAACAGTTAGAAACGGTTAATTCTGTTGTTTGTTAGTTTGTTACAACCGTGCACGTTTTGTGCACGTTTTTGTGTTTCTTTTCTTTTGAGCGGATATAAAAGGAGAGGATGTAAACTGTAAAAACTATGAAATGAATGAGAATCTTTTTCTTCTTCTAAACTCTGAATTCTGTTCTTCTTTCCTCTAACTCATCTCTTTCTTCATTGTCTCAATTCTCCCTTATTTTCTGTTCTCAAGACTTGATAATCTCAGTCATGGCCAGAAATAACAACTTGAGGTCCAATCGAGGTTCTCGATCCTCACAATTGGTATCAGAGCAGCAGGAAGCTGAAGCTGGTGCTGATGATTTCTTGGGTGATCAGGAAGGAGCTGATGCTGAAGATATTACTTCAGAGGAGAGATTTGCTCGATTAGAGGATGATGTCCTTCGAAATAGCTCTTTTAGCAGTCAACAAGAATCATTCAACCAGAAACTCTCAGCACAGATGAGTGATCTCCAGCTCCAACTATCTTCAAAGATGGAGTTTTTGATGCAGGAGATCAAGAACCTCAAGAGTTCCGACCAAGGAGTTCTAGGAACTGGTTCAAGAGAGAGTAGGGAGAAAACAAGGTCAGGAGCTGGGGAATCTAGCAAGAATGATCAAAGCAATGGATATCTCCCTCCACATCGAAGAAATGCCGAATTCAGTGGAGAATTTCAATCTATTAGCAGTTTTGGTAACTCCTCAACTCAGAGAAATTCTTTCTTTAGCAATCAAAAACTTGTTCAACCAAAATCTCTGCGTTTGGATTTTCCCTCTTTTTCTGGGACTGAGAATGTTATAGCTTGGTTAGAACAAACTGCACAAATCTTTGAATATTATGATATCAAAGATGATGAGTGGGTCAAGGTTTGTTCTTTTTACCTAAGGGATGAGGCTTTACAATGGTATAGATGGCTTACTAGAAATATTAAAAATTACCAGTATTGGGCTGTCTTTAAAGAGGAATTAATGACAAGATTTGGCCCTAGTGAACTTTCAAGGCCATATGATGCTTTCTCAACTATGAAACAAACTTCCACTGTTAAGGAGTACTTGGGAAAATTTGAACAAACCCTAGGGTTGTTGGAGGATCAACCCTCTAGAAGGCACATTCTTGAGAGATTTATAAGGGGGTTAAAGGATGAGCTACGGTATGAGGTAGCAGCTGGCAGACCTTCTTTGAAGGGAGCAGTGTCATTAGCCAAGCTATTTGAGGATAAGCAAAGAAATGAGAAAAGGAGCAAAGGGAATTGGAATGTCTTTAATCAAGGAAATCCATCTAATCGTACCTTTCCTGAAGTGCCTGTACAAGACAAATCCAAGTTTCCTCAGTTCAAGAAGCTTACACCTGAAGACATACAAAAGAGGAGTCAGAATCTATGTTTTACATGTGATGAAAAGTGGCATAGAGGACATCAGTGTAAAGGCAAGCATATATTCATCTTAGAAGGGATCTTAGAAGGTGGAACTGAGGAAGAGATAGAAGACCATGGATGCAATGATCAAGAAGACCTGGCCTTTGAATTAGCTGAAAGTCTGATAAGAGGAGCCCCTTCTATTTCAGTCCGAGCTCTTAGTGGAATCACAGCCTCTCATACTATTAGAGTTGTGGGGTATTACAAGAATCAAGTCATCAGCATCTTGATAGATTCTGGTTCTACACATAATTTCATCAATACAAAGCTAGTTAAGAGACTTGGATTACCAGTGACAGAATATAGCAATTTTGATGTTCTTGTGGCAAGTGGAGAATTTAGTTAAGAGACTTGGATTACCAGTGACAGAATATAGCAATTTTGATGTTCTTGTGGCAAGTGGAGAATTAATCAAAGGAGATGGAGTGTGCCAAGACAGAATATAGCAATTTTGATGTTCTTGTGGCAAGTGGAGAATTAATCAAAGGAGATGGAGTGTGCCAGGGGGTGTCACTGGATTGTCAAGGAGTCCGCATTCAAGTGAATCTGTTAGTGATGCCCTTGGGAGGTAGTCAGATTGTGTTAGGGACAGATTGGATGAAAACCTTGGAAGATATCACTTTGAACTTTAAAAAGTTGCAGGTAACATTCTTATGTGAGGGAATAAAGAGGACTCTACAAGGAATAGTACCAAGAGAGTTACAATTGGTTAATGAGAAAAATATTGCTAAATCTGTTAGAGAGCAAAAAAAGGGATACTTAATTCAATTATGTAGTGTTAATTTGCAAGAATCTGTTTCAGGAGCTATTCATGAAGAATTACCTGCAGAGATCCACAACTTGGTACAGGAGTTTGATGTTATATTCCAAGAACTACCACATCTTCCTCCTGCTAGAGAGATTGATCATAAAATTCCCTTAGAAACTGGAACAAAACCAAGAACTACCACATCTTCCTCCTGCTAGAGAGATTGATCATAAAATTCCCTTAGAAACTGGAACAAAACCAGTGTGCATTAGACCTTATAGGCATCATAAAATTCCCTTAGAAACTGGAACAAAACCAGTGTGCATTAGACCTTATAGGCATGCACATTTCTTGAAAGAAGAAATTGAAAAACAGATTGAAGAGATGCTGGAAAAAGGGATTATCAGACACAGTCATAGTCCTTTCTCTTCACCAGTGGTGATGGTTAAAAAATCTGATGGGAGTTGGAGAATGTGCATTGATTATAAGTCCCTCAACAAAGCTACAATTAAAGACAAATTTCCTATTCCAATTATTGATGAGTTGCTGGATGAGTTACATGGGACACAGTTCTTCACAAAATTGGATTTAAAATCAGGGTATCATCAAATAAGAATGTGTGATTCAGACATTCCAAAAATTGCCTTTAGAACACACAGTGGGCATTTTGGGTTCTTAGTAATGCCTTTTGGACTCACCAATGCCCCTTCAACATTCCAGGCCCTCATGAATAATACTTTCAAAGATATTCTCAGGAAATTTGTCTTGGTTTTCTTTGATGACATACGAATATACAGTAAAGGGTGGTAGGACCATTTGATTCATCTGAGACAAGTATTTCAGATCCTCAAGACC